GGTGAACATGGAGCTGAGGCGGGGAGGTGGCCGCTGGTGACCGTCGAGGAGTCCGCGCCCTCGTAGCAAGCAAATTTGTCCCCAGGAGCTGTTGAGCAACGTAAGTTTGACAGATTTTTATTTGGGGTGTGTGTGTGTGTGTGTGTGTTCCAAAGGAATATTCGACATCCGCCCTCTTCCCTTGTCTTTTCATTACTAATTTCTCTCTAGGCCCTTCGTCTGCCCTTTATCGTTTGCTCTTCAGCCGCTGACAGGTATTTTGTTCTTTAGCTTGTCGCTTTTTCAGTCCCTATCAGTGCCCTCGCCAGCAGTCCCGTTTCCCAGCCTCATCCCACGTAGGTGGTTTTGACTGCGGTGTTCCTGAAGCCGATTTGGGGCAAAATATTTACCGTGTGCATCAAAACAGCGTGTGATGATGTCAGACTTCACAAGCACGACTGTCGCTTCGATGTGTCCTTATGTGCTTATTGCTTTTCGTTACTCCTTTTCCCCCTAGAGCCGCAGTGGGCAGCAGGGCCTGCCCCCGGTGTGGGAGAAGGGAGAGGAGCCCCGCGGGTCGCGCCTCCGGGTGAGTGATGGGCTGTGGTCCGGCTGCAGGTAGCCCACAAGGGAAAGCTCAGGTCCTTAGCCACCCCGTGAGCCCCTTCCACCTCCTAAGCACAGCTCTCCGCTTAGTAATTCCTCTGTTAACAGAAACTGCATGCAGAGTGTCCTTCGAGGAGTCTTAACTACGGTGATTGTCATATAACACCTCTCCTTCTATTTAAATTTATCTTAAACCCTAACCAAAATTTCCTTCCGGGGTAGCTACTTTCTATCATTTAACTGTCTAGAATATTGACTTAATCCCGCCTTGGAGCTAAGCGTAACTAACTGATCTTAACCGTGTTATTTGTTGAAGCAGTTTTTAGTGCTGCATGCGTTTTCGCACATTGCACTGTATTTCTGTGTTAAAAATGCTCTCTGCAATTACGGTAGGATATAAACAATGTCTTGAGTTCAGCAAGTCAAAACGAGAACTGACTATATGTCCTTTTCATTTAGTAGCCACAATGTCAAGTAAGGAGGTGAAGGCAGCGTTAAAGAGCGCTAGAGACGCAATACGAAATAAAGAATATAAGGAAGCCTTAAAACATTGCAAGGTAATTAATTTTTTACTTGGAAGATAATATTTTTGGCACATTTTATGTGCTGTTCTCATACCCCAACAGCTGTATACTAACACAAGTGTAGAGTACCTTTTTGGTGTAACAGTCGAGATTGATTTTCAGATTTGACTTCATTGACTGTTCATGTTAGTTGCCCACAGGTAAACCTTTATTCCCCTTCCCTTTTGCATTTGCTTATATGTGGCAATAAGAATATTAAGTCTAGAATAATAATAGTGATAAACTCCATTTCTAGTCCAGACCTCGACAGGAGTGCTTTAATTGCTGAGCTACAGATAGGGTTACTGGCAGAACAGTCCAGATATGAAGCATTCTCTAGCACAAAAAGCTGAAATTACTAATCTTAGCCTTTTCCTAAAAATGAGTTAACTTCTAATATTACCACACAGAATAATTCACCAAACTGTAATGACAAAACTCAATACATGGATCTATAAAATGTTTTTCATTCATCGATTTCACTTAAAATTGTGTATTTCCAGGCAGTCTTGAAGCAAGAAAAAAATAACTACAATGCTTGGGTGTTTATTGGCCTGTCAGCCGCTGAGTTGGAGCAGCCTGACCAGGCCAAGGGAGCATATAGGAAGGCTATTGAACTTGAACCAAACCAGTTACTGGCATGGCAGGTACGTGAATGTCCAGATTCAGTTTTTCTCCCTCTGAAAAGTGGAGTTAAATATAGGAACAAAGCAGAGCTGAGACTTGCATTGAGGCCCTTAGTTCTGCTGGAGGTTTAGAGTAGCGGAGGTTCATATTATTTCTGTGTCCAAAGAAAAGCCATGGGTGGCTGCATGTGTATAGCAGGGTGAGCTTTAGTTCCAGTATAAGTTTGTAGTGCTTGTGTAGACTGGATAGCAGTGCAACATGCAAGTGAGAGCATGAATTGGAACAGATGCAGTAAGTTTGTCCATGCTTAGGAATTTCCCTGCTCGTAGCTCAAGAAACACTTGACAGTGAGTGCTTCTCTCATAGGATAGAAAATGTTGTATCTAGTAACTTATTTTTCCATCTTTCAGCATCAAGCGGGTTGTTACTGAATTTTGTAGTTGTTACTTTGAAAAACAATAGCTTACATTCAAAATAGCTGTGTGCTGGGTGGTGTGTGCATGGCAACTATAGCAATATATAGTTAAAATGTATGGTTGTGGCATTTGGACACTTGTGAAGCATGAGGTCGTGCATGTGGTCTCTCTCAGATATCAGTGATCAATGTTTTTCTAAGCTAGTAAGGTTCTGAGTATTTTCAACATAAATAGCTTTTTAAAGTATCACTGTTGGTGCCTGATTTCAAGGTATATTGACATTTCTGCAGTTCTGCAATCAGATGGTGGCTTTCTGTTACTAAACAAGACGGTGTAATGCTTGGATATAGATCTTTTATCATATGACTTAGCATGCTTTGTGTATTGCCTGTTATGCAGGCAAGATTGTGTAAAATATACAGGTTTCAAATAGTTGTTGGTATTGGTTAAGAAAGTGAGGAAAGCTTTTAATTTAAAACATACAGATTCATAAGGCTGTACAGAAGTACCAACATAGGTTGTGCTTGGAGATTGCTACGCTGCTGCATGAACACTTGGCCCCGCTGAAGGCAATGAAATAATTCTTATAGGCAGCACTTGCAGTGTACTTGTAACACCTAACTGTTATCATCAAATCTTGCTTATTTTTTTATCTTTACTTTTTTTTTAAAGGGATTAGCAAATTTGTATGAGAAATCCAACCAAACAGATGTCAAAGGAGACTTAGCAGATGTTTACCAAAAGCTCTTGGAACTCTATGAAAGGTAAAGAACATTGAACACTGTAATTTACTCTGAAGATTTCTGGGTCAGCGAATGCCATTACTGATACGCAGATTAGTCTGCAAGTTTGGTTTTTTGGGGTTTTTTTTTTAAAAGCCTTGTCACATCAGTGGGTAAGCACTTGTGAATACGGTTTCCTGTGCCTGTATAAGGTTTCTTGATCATGTCCCTTTTGGTAGGGGAAAGACTCTCAGAAATAATTGTACTTGACGTTAGTAGTTTAGAGAATTCTAATGTTGCCCTATGTCCTCGGTCTAAACTCACTGCCTTGAAGCATTTAGCTCTGATCGTTCATTGCCTGCATTAAGAAGTAGGCTTATTTTTCTCTGCTTTTAAGTTCACAGAATATATGTTGTCTGATTCATATAGTTACAGTTCTAAACAAATCTAACTCAGCTGTCACTGTGACTGACTGGAGTGTTTGATTTGTTTCCTTAATTTGCAAATT